GTTCCATACCAGTATGTCCAGATATTGGGATAAATTTAGTAAAACGCTCCACTGGACCACTGGCAAGTACATATCGAAATATAATGGTCAGTTGATCAGAATGTGCAATATCAGGGGTGGAATCAACAGAAATTGAATAATATTTGGCTTGTTTCATTTCATTTACAATCTGCTGTAGCAATTGCTGACCAATCAATTCAATAAACTCATCACATATTGTTGATGACAGGTACGATATGTGACCTCTTCCCTTGTTGCCATGCTTTTGAATATGTTCAGCAAGGAATGGATCATATTCCGCTAACAGCTCAAGACAGCCCAAATCATTCCCGTTGTGTACTGAGCCAATAACTTCATTATTTCCTCGAAAAGACAGACCTCGTGATGAAAGCAGCTTTATAACGCTCAGGATACGGCAAAGTATTTTGTGCCAATATTTTTTCTGATTCTCAAACTGATTGACAAGATCTTTGTCTATGCGTTGACCAGAAGTTTTTCTCCTGATAAGGACTTCAATGGCTTTTCCATGAGAAGCACTATTTTCATGCCTGCTTAAATCTCTTGTGGCATGTCGCCAATCTGAATAACCAGTTGAAGTCAAATGTGTTGTTTCGTCTTTCGAAAATAGTTTGCAAAGAGCACAAAAAACCTTGCCAGTTTTTGGAGAATAACACAGCCAGTCACGCTTAACTTTTTCTCCATTCAACTGTTCTCGGAAAAACAAAGATTTTGTACAGTGCCTTGTAAAAGTTTCACCTGGACATATCTTTTCTGAGGCACTAAAATCACTGTCTATATGTTGACAGTTGGTAACCCCATTTTCACAGAAATATTCTCTCAAGGCATCACAAATATTCCAATCTCCAATGTCATTTGAATATATTTCTTCTTGCTGTTCTGTTATCTTTTCATAGTCAAACTCAGTGGATCCACTTGTTGCACTAGATGTACTGACAGCAATTGTACTGGTTGAACTTGAAGAGGAAGCATATATATCAGTTGAACTGCTTGTTCCAGATGTGCTTTTCCACAAAATTCTGTAATTTTTTTTTTAGACAAGATTTTTTGCATTTGTTTTTCTTCCTCTTCTCTAGCTTTCAGCTTCTCCCAACCACTATATTGTTTTTTCATCCTTAGGTGTAAAAAAAATAAAAATAAAAACGAAGACTACCATTACCAAGGATGGTCAAATACAGTACTTTCTCTAGATGTTTTTTTTTTTTAACAGCTCGTTTATTAGTGCAATTATCTTGAGTTCTCGTAGGCCCACGCAGAGGACACATTGATCTACTGTGGTACGGTATAACTCCCATAATTGTATTGTAACCGAGTAAACTTGCAGAAGCCAGACACAGAGAGATGGATGCAGGTTTTCAGGAAGTAAGAGGTCTTTATTAACGGGCCTCAGATGAACTAATGTTCCAAAACAGGTCTGAGGGCCGAACAGATGGAGTACATGCTTTAATAGCTCCACCCGCACATACCCTTAACCAATCAGTGGACAGGATTTCCTCATATGGGCAGACCACATGGCTCGTCCGAAACAAAGGAGAAAGGAGTGTGATTTCAGTTCCTGCATTCCTGCACATGCTCAGTACATTGATGACAGTATCTTAGCTAGATGTAACTAACTGATACAACTTACACATATGCCACGTGGAAATCTCGGCCTACTAAATTTACATTTCACCGAAATTCCATCACAGTATATTGATCCAGACATAGTCTGTGGTATATTAAAACCCCCATCATTATACATTGATCCAGACACAGACTGTGGTACGGTCCAAACACAGACTGTGGTACAATCCAGACACAGACTGTGGTACGATCCAGACACAGTCTGTGGTATGTAGTACTCCCATCATTATATATTGATCCAGACAATCGACTGTGGTACGATCCAGACTTGGACTGTGGTACAATCCAGACACAGTCTGTGGTATAGTATAACTCCCATCATTTTATATTGATCCAGAGACAGACTGTGGTACGATTCAGACGCAGTCTGTGGTATAGTATAACTCCCATCATTATATATTGATCCAGACATAGACTGTGGTATGATTCAGACACAGTCTGTGGTATAGTATAACTCCCATCATTATATATTGATACAGAGACAGACTGTGGTACGGTATGACTCCCATCATTATACAATGATCCAGTCACAGAAGTGTCTGGGACAGCATAACTCCAAAGGTTTTCAAAACCCTATAAAATCTGTACATGGCATTGCTGAACACAAATAGAAGTGTTCTAGAGCAGTAAAATGTAGAATGAATATGACATCATTGGTGATAGGGCAGTTTTTGTGTGAAAAATGCAACAAAAAATCATGAACACTAATTTTGGCAAGGGTCTGTGACTAACTGGCTACTAAAAAAGACTGGACATACTCCATTTTGAATACTCTAGGTTGTCTAATTTTGCAAATGGTATGCCATCATGGGGGTAATTCTCATTCCTGGGCTGCCATCAGGGATGTATTTACCACAAGGCAAACAAGGCATTTGCCTAGGGCGGCACTTTCAGGGGGGCGCCAAAAAATGCCACCCCAAGCTCCCAGACAAATGCCTTGCTTGCCTTGTGTTCTGGGGCTGTCTACCTTATTGTGAGTGAGTGAGTGTAGCTGTCAGTGTGTGTCTGTGAGTGAGTGAAAGTGTGTGTCTTTCAGTGAGAATGGGTGTGCCTGTAAGTGTGTGTATGTCATTTTATGTGTATCTGAGAGTGTGTGTCTGTCAGTGAGTGGGTGTATCAGTGTGTGTCTGTCAGTGAAAGTGTGTGTTGGTTAAACAGTGTGTGCTTATGACTGTATGTGTATGCCAATGACTGTATCTGTCAGTGAGTGTATATCAGTGCATGTATCAATGGGGGTATGTATCTGTCAGTCAAAAAAGTGGCCTTGACACGAATTGGGGGGTCAAATTTAGATTTTGGGGGTGCCCAAATTTAGTCGTGCCTAGGGCAGCACAAATCCAAAATACACCACTTGCTGCCATACAGTCTAAAAGACAACAAAGGCCCAGTTGGCCAATCTGGCAACTTTTAATGTGTAAAAACCGAAATGGGCAAGCCCTATTTCTGAACCTGTAAGTTTACAAAACCCTATAAAACCTATACATTGAGCAGGGGTACTGTTCTACTTGTGAAACAATTGCTGAACACAAATGTGTGTTTTTTTTTTGCCGTAAAAGCAAACAGTATTATGACATTCACTTTTAAAATGCCATGCAGAACTAAGAAAATAACATTTAATTTCTCACATTTTCTTTTTTTCTATTTTATTCATATTAAATTATGTTCCATATATAAATATTTGTGAGATGAAAGCTTTTTCTCATGAACAAAATAATATATAATAAGTGTGGGTGCGCTTCATATGAAAAAAGTTAACTTATGTATAAACAGACCTATAGCTCAAATTCCAGGTTATGTTTTGGTTCAGAAATTGTACAATTGCCGCTGTCCTTAAGGGTATCTCAAATGGCTAGGTAGGTCCTCCCAGAACAGAATTGAAATTTTTTAAATAAAGCCAATGTAGACAAAAGCTCCTTACTTTTCAGAGTTGTAACCCTCCATTCATAAAAAAAAAAAAAAACAATGCAACATTTTCACACACAGCAATATAACAAATTCTCCCACCATATAGCTGCCAATTAATTCATAAGTCTACAACTTTCATGTAGGTAGTGCTTTTCCAAAACCCCAAGACCTCTGTACCTTAGCCTTATTTATCTACCTCTTTTACATCACACATCAAACATAGTTGAAATTTGTAGTCATTCTAATTTATGTACAAATCAATATACAGGGAGTGCAGAATTATTAGGCAAGTTGTATTTTTGAGGATTAATTTTATTATTGAACAACAACCATGTTCTCAATGAACCCAAAAAACTCATTAATATCAAAGCTGAATATTTTTGGAAGTAGTTTTTAGTTTGTTTTTAGTTTTAGCTATGTTAGGGGATATCTGTGTGTGTAGGTGACTATTACTGTGCATAATTATTAGGCAACTTAACAAAAAACAAATATATACCCATTTCAATTATTTATTATTACCAGTGAAACCAATATAACATCTCAACATTCACAAATATACATTTCTGACATTCAAAAACAAAACAAAAACAAATCAGTGACCAATATAGCCACCTTTCTTTGCAAGGACACTCAAAAGCCTGCCATCCATGGATTCTGTCAGTGATTTGATCTGTTCACCATCAACATTGCGTTCAGCAGCAACCACAGCCTCCCAGACACTGTTCAGAGAGGTGTACTGTTTTCCCTCCTTGTAAATCTCACATTTGATGATGGACCACAGGTTCTCAATGGGGTTCAGATCAGGTGAACAAGGAGGCCATGTCATTAGATTTTCTTCTTTTATACCCTTTCTTGCCAGCCACGCTGTGGAGTACTTGGACGCGTGTGATGGAGCATTGTCCTGCATGAAAATCATGTTTTTCTTGAAGGATGCAGACTTCTTCCTGTACCACTGCTTGAAGAAGGTGTCTTCCAGGAACTGGCAGTAGGACTGGGAGTTGAGCTTGACTCCATCCTCAACCCGAAAAGGCCCCACAAGCTCATCTTTGATGATACCAGCCCAAACCAGTACTCCACCTCCACCTTGCTGGCGCCTGAGTCGGACTGGAGCTCTCTGCCCTTTACCAATCCAGCCACGGGCCCATCCATCTGGCCCATCAAGACTCACTCTAATTTAATCAGTCCATAAAACCTTAGAAAAATTAGTCTTGAGATATTTCTTGGCCCAGTCTTGACGTTTCAGCTTGTGTGTCTTGTTCAGTGGTGGTCGTCTTTCAGCCTTTCTTACCTTGGCCATGTCTCTGAGTATTGCACACCTTGTGCTTTTGGGCACTCCAGTGATGTTGCAGCTCTGAAATATGGCCAAACTGGTGGCAAGTGGCATCGTGGCAGCTGCACGCTTGACTTTTCTCAGTTCATGGGCAGTTATTTTGCGCCTTGGTTTTTCCACACGCTTCTTGCGACCCTGTTGACTATTTTGAATGAAACGCTTGATTGTTCGATGATCACGCTTCAGAAGCTTTGCAATTTTAACAGTGCTGCATCCCTCTGCAAGATATCTCACTATTTTTGACTTTTCTGAGCCTGTCAAGTCCTTCTTTTGACCCATTTTGCCAAAGGAAAGGAAGTTGCCTAATAATTATGCACACCTGATATAGGGTGTTGATGTCATTAGACCACACCCCTTCTCATTACAGAGATGCACATCACCTAATATGCTTAATTGGTAGTAGGCTTTCGAGCCTATACAGCTTGGAGTAAGACAACATGCATAAAGAGGATGATGTGGTCAAAATACTAATTTACCTAATAATTCTGCACTCCCTGTACAAAAAAAGGAAATATCGAAGATAAATGCTCAAATCACTAGGTCCCACTCACGTAGTGCTGAGCCGTTAGAAAGTGGCTCAGACTATCAGTGCCTTTTCCAATATATGTTTTGGAGATCAAATGAAGGGGTAGTTGCAGAAAAAAAATACTTTAATGGTATCGATAAAATATATATGTAATTGTAGACACTGAGTGCAGTTGGCTTTTATTTGGAGACTTAGTATATGCTGTATATATATAGATATGCTCAGTGGACTGTGACTCTCAAGAAGCACAGCCAAATAGAAGGCTGGCTAAGCATGCTGAGAGCTGTGTCCATAAAACATAACAGCACTATGATTTCCATTTGTTTTTTTTTGCCCTCTCTCCCGTCCTCCCCCCCCCCCTCTTCCAACTGGTTTATCTGATACCTGCTCGGGCTGGTGTGGCTGAGCGCTGGGTGTGTTGGTGAGCAGGTTGTACACAGCGCAGCGTGCAGGAGGGATAACCGCGGGCGCACTGAGGTCCTATCCGGCGGGCCGCAGCATTACAGGAACCGCATCATTTACGAACGCTCTAATAAAATGCATACCCTACTAGCTAGAGCACTGAACCCCGA